TTATAAAATTTTAAAATAAATTATAACATACAAATGATATAATATTATACTGTAATTTTATGTTTAATTGATATATTATCCTTAAATTAAAATTTTAAAATATAAATAATCAAAATTTAAAAGTACATTTTTTATAATTTAATTTAAAATCTTTAAATATAATTTATGAAATTTAAATCAAATTATAAAAATGTTATAGAAAAATACTAGTATTATATTAACCGCATGTCCTTTTAAGTAATTTTAACAGTTTAAAAGCACTTTCAATTATATAACGTCCAAATAGTTTTTTTACGAAAAGCTGCTTTTATAATGATTTATCCAAACACAAAATCGAACTGCTTCTGCTTTTGGCTTTTGCTTCTGCTTATTTTTTTAAGCCAATCCAAACGGGCCTTGTAGGTTAGCTTGAGGCCATAATAATAATAATAATAATAATAAGGGTAAACTGTTTTTTTAATATCGCAAACTAGTCTTATAAGTGAAAAATTTTCGCTGTTTTAGTCCTCCGGCGCCGGAGACGCTTGCGTGGCTCGCCGGAGGCTACGTGTCCGCCAGGTCAGCGACACCTGGCGGACATGTGGATTTTATTATATTTTTTTTTTCATTTGTTTAAATTTGTTTAAAATTTCTTTTTTAAATTTTATTTGTCTTTTTAAATTTCTTTTATTTTGGTCCAATTGAAAAAAAATTTAAAAAATAATAAAATAATAAAATAAAATCAACATGTTTGCCAAGTATCGCTGACCTGGCGGGACACCTGGCAGACACGTGGCTTTCGGCGAGCCATGCAAGCGTCTCCGGCGCCTCCGGCGCCGGAGGACTAAAACAACAAAAAATTTTCACTTATTGAACTAGTTTGCAACATACTCCACTTACTAAAAAAACAGTTTACTCTATTGGATTAAAAAGCAGTTTACTCTAATAATAATAATAATAATAATAATAATAATAATAATATAAATAATCCAATATCCTTATAATAAGATATCCATCTTTTTATTTAATTAGTGCGCTCATAAAATAAATTTAAGTGTAGCGTGGTCAATTCACAACCTCACTTATAATTCTTTTATAAAAAATATAAGTAATTATTTAGAATCATATCTAATAATGATTTTACTTAAAAAAATAATAAAAATTTAAATACAAAATCCTAAAAGACCACATCATCAATTTATATATATATATATAATGAAACAATATAACGAGTGTATCTTTTGTAAGTTTGATATAGTTATGCTTAAATAGAAAATTTTAAAATTTTTTTTTCCAAAATAATTATGTTCTTTTAACAAAACTTTTTCAAACACATTTTTCAATAAAAATTAATATTTATATATATATATATCATTTTTATATTATCGACAGAATTCTTCGTATTTTAAATAAAAATATCAAAATACAAAACAAACATATTTTATAGATATATATATATAATTAGTTTATACTTCATAGCCACCTACAAATTATCCCCTTCTCTTTTTTTTTTTTTTTTTTTTTTTTTTTTATCGATCACATAAAATATGAACATTTTTTTATTTATAATAAACTTATTAGTTTTAAACACATGGAACAAATATAAATCAATTTAATTAAAATTTTAATATTTTATAAATAGAATTCACTTTAAATTCTTTTATTTCTATCTTTCAATAATTAAAAAATATTGTTATATATCTTTAAAAATTTCTATTTTTTTTATAAAATTAATGTATGGTAATAATAAATAAATAAATATATTTATTATATAAAATTTTATTCTCTACAACATAATATTCATATTGTATATATTTTTAATGAAATATAATATTAAAATTATTTAAACACATATTTTGAATTTTTTTTAATCATATATACTAATATACTTCTATTACACACAATCATTAAATAATTAATTATCACTATTTAAATTATTAATCTATACTATCTAAATTGTCAAAACAAAAAGTATCATCTAAAGTGGAATTGAGGGTGTATTAATTATAAATAAATAAATATTTTTTATTTATCTATTTTATATAGTATTTGTTATCTACAAAATAATATATATATATTGTATATATTTTATTGAAATCGTTCTTAAAATATGTTAAACATATATCTTTATTTTATTAAATAATAGTATATAGTCCCTTCGTTCCAAATCAAAAGGACCCTTTAAAGTTTTTGTAGTAGATTAAAAAATAATAATATTTTATTTGTCAATAAAAATGTGTAAGAATTTTGGATAATTTTGCTATTTGACTTTATGTATAAAGTAATTGTATATGTAATTGTATATTTGTAATTTAAGTAAAAGTTAAGATATTTTGGTATTAGTGTATAATTACTTTTTGTAAAATAGGAAAGAAATATTTTAAAATGAGACAAACGAAAATAATAAAAAGAGTATTATGAATTGGGACGGAGGGAATATTAATTTTTATTGACAAAATTGCACAAAATTTACTTGTAATTTCATAAATTGCGTCAAATCATCTATATTTTCAAAACTGCTTCATACTCTTCATAGTTTCATAACTTTGCGTTTAACCCCCTCGACCGTTCTTATTTAATAACGGTGTTTGACCTGCACGCATCAACTGCAAATAAATTTTAAAACTTTCATTTACAAACTCTTGACATTACAAATATATTCATTCCTTTATGTCTAGTCTCAAAGAATAATAACAAAATTAATTAACTATTTATGAGTATATTTGTTGTTCTTTGAGGCAAAATATAAGAATAATGAGTAATTTGTAATTTCAAAAGCTTTTAAAAATAAATATTTTGAAATTTATTCGCAATTTGAGCACATATAAATCTACACCATTAAATAATGACAACCGATGGGTTACAAATAAAAGTTTATGAAATTATAAAGGAATAGTTTTGAAAGTAGGGAGGATTTGACACAATTTCATAAAATTATACTACCTCAATCCAATCAGGAAGTAAATGCATGCTTTTGCGTCATTATATTTAACATTAAAAATATTCTTATATTTGTATAGTTTACTCCGAAAATATGATTGTATTTGTATTATAAGAGACATTTTTGTTGTTTTCTCTTTATTTATACTATATTTTGATATAATAATTAATATTTACTTATCAACGCAAAAAAACCACTGTATACTTTGTGGCTGGACGAAGGTAATATGTGAGTTGTATGCAATTTTGCTATTTTTATTTTAAAATTATCAATAACATCAGTCACATTAAAAGTAATAAAATAATTTTATAACTCATTATCATTAATTTTTTAAACTCTACTGTACTGTCTTACTAACAAAACATATATGTTAGAAAAAGGTGTATGAAAAAATGAGAAGCAATATACGATATATTATACGAATATTGTTACTTTTATATTATACAACACTAATAAAATTAATTTAGTCTTTTTATATTTATTTATACTACATTCCAATATAAGGGTTGTTTGGATTGACTTAAAAAATAAGCAGAAATCAAAAGTAGATGTACAAGCAGAAGTCAAAAGCAGAAGTTCAATTTTGTGCTCGGATGAATTATTATAAAAAATATTAAAATTACTCAAAATGACATGCTGTGAATATAATTGTATTTTTCTATAAAAATTATATATATATTTTAATTTTTTAATTATATTTAAATATTTTAAATAAAAGTATAAAAATATATTTTTAAAATTTTATTATTTATATTTTAAAATTTTAATTTAATATATATAAATTAAAAATAAAATTACAATATAATAGAAATATTAAATTATTCGTATTTTTGAATTTATTTTTAAAATTTTATAACTTATATTTAATAATTTTAGTATATTAAAAAAATAATATATTTTTATTTACATTTGATATCTCAATTATAATTTTAAATTTTAATTCAAATATAATATATAAATTAAAAATATATAATATATAAATTAATTATTTTTATAATAATAATATATTATTATTATCATTATTATTAAGGATAAAACAATAATTTTAGCTGAAAAATACTTTATTTCCGAAGTTATCCTCAATGTGCTTCTGAAAAAAATACTTTTTAGTCTCAAAAACAACTTTTCATTTTGGACAAAAGTTAATGCAAACAAACAGGTACAAACTGCTTTTTTTAGAAGCAGAAGCCAAAATCAGCTCACATAAGCCTATCCAAACGGACCCTAATACTAATATTTATAAAATTTCGTGAAAAAAAAAAACGGATAAATATATATGATCAGACGAAGAGAGTATCATATACTATCACAAAAAATTAGTAACGTTTAACACTACATATTATTTTTTATATTACCGATATAATGTTTTATGTATCGTATAAAAGATATCAAAAACTAAAATACTCTTTCCATCTACTCACAAAGTCTATATTTTTATTTTTTTTTAATTTTTAATTAAAAAATAATTATTTTTTTTAGTAACTATATATCATCATATCTTACTTTTACGTAAAAAAAAAGAGATAAAATTATCTTTATCGAGGCCACCCGGGTGGCCTCGCGCTGCAATCACCCAACCTTCCTTTTGGACTTTCAATTACTTTTAACTATTTATTACAATTAAACTATTTTTGTCTTTTTTTCATCTCAGTTAATTTGTTCATTTTAATTGAAGTACAGAGTATAAAAGTACAGAGTATAAGGTATTATATAATTAATAAATAATTTAAAAATATATTAGGAAAATAATTATGATATAATACAAATAATTATACAGATAATTAAATAATTTAATTAAAATAATTATAAAAAATATAATTACATACAAAAAATAAAAATAGAACACCAACAAGCAAAAACACACAATTTCAACAAAAACTTTCTAATTCTAAGGAAGTAAGAAAAAGGAAATTTGTCTTCAACAAATATAATTTCCATGTAAGAAAATATAAAGGAAAATTGTCGTCTTCTTCCACCATGGATTCAAAATCAATCAACACATTATTAATCTTTCTTGTATAAATTTCTATCAACCATTTGGATCATCATCTTCAACAAAGAGATAGATATACAGAGAGAGACAGAGCTTGTGCTTAATTAATTGGCTTTAATGCTTATCCTCTATAAAATACAACTTTCATTTCATCGATCCCACTTTTACTCTCTCTCTCTCTAGCCACAGAAGAGAAGAGTTTGTTAGAACACACACACACTCTCTCTCTCTCTCCCAATTCGAGTAATTTCTCCTCTCTCTCTGTCTCTCTCTCTCTCCTTCCCAATTCAATCCCTTTCATTCGTTTTCCGTGTCATGAGCACCTCCTCGTGATTCTCTTACCACTTATCTAGAGAGAGAAACAAGTTCGAGCCGTACCAATGGTTCCACACTTCAATTCTCGCGCTGATTTTTTGGGGCTACAAAAGTATTGCGTGCTTTCGTCGGCTCCGAGATTCGAATTTTTTGGCGTCTTTCTTGCCATCGATTTGGGGCTCTGCTGTCTCTGCAAGCCTTAGCTTAACCTTAATTCCATCCCAACTCCCCATTCATTTAATTCAATTGCTCTTCTTGATTTCTACAAACAAAAAAATAAAAGGGTTTCGATCTCTAGAGATTTGTTTTCTTCTTCTCATTAGAGTGAATTATAATTTTTTTTTTTTTTAAACGGGGTTATTTTTTTTCCCCTCATAGATCTATTTCCTCTCCATCTTTTCCACATTATTGTTGTTATGTGTAAAAGTGTCTTACCCTTTTCCCTCCACCATTTGTACGATTTATCGAAGATTGATTGATTAATTGATTGTCTGTACCTTGTGAATTGGTTTGATTCGAAATGTGGAGTGATTTGAGAAATTTCCGATTCTGTACAATCTCTCTATCTTAGATAAGAATTTGGATTAGGAATTTGTTGTAAGAACTTTCAGGACGGATCCTCGCGGAGAAAATAGGGGTTGGGGTTGTGACTGCGTGGCGGGTCTGGAGTGCATATTGAATATAATCAGGGCCCTGTTAATGGGTTCCTGCTTGTCCGGAGAAAGCAGGAGCCCTAGGGCAGGGTCGCCGTTGGGTGGTTTGAAGAGGAAGAAGAGGCTGGGGTCGAGGAATTCGTCGTTCGACTATGGCAGGGATGATCAGCTGCATCGAACTCCGGGGAGGATGTTTGTTAATGGCTCCAGTGATCGGGCGTCGCTCTTCACTCAGCAGGGGAAGAAAGGGACCAATCAAGATGCCATGCTTGTTTGGGAGGTATTATATTCGATTCGATTGCATTTTGATTGATGAATTGATCGATTTTGTGCCGTGTTTGTTTCGTGCATTGTTATTGCATTTTCGTCGATGAATTGGTTTGTTTTATGTTGTGGATTAGAGGTATTTGTTTAGTGCGTTTTGGTTGATGAATTGGTTGGTTTTGTGTCGCTAATTGGAGGGATTTGTTTCGTGCATTGTTAGTGCATTTTGGTCGATGAATTGGATGGTTTTGTGTCGGGAATTGGAGAGATTTGTTTTGTGCTTTGTTAGTGCGTTTTGGTCGATGAATTGGTTGGTTTTAAGTCGCGCATTGGCCGTATTTGTTTCATGCATTGTTAGTGCATTTTGGTCGATGAATTGATCGATTTTAAGTTGCTTATTGCTATTGCATTTTGGTGGATGAATTGATTGATTTTATGTCGCGTATTGGCCGTATTTGTTTTGTGCTTTATTATTGCATTTTAGTCGATGGATGGATTGATTTGGTTGGTTTTGGGTCGTATTTTTGCGAATTGGCGGTATTAGTTTTGTAAGTTTTTATTGTACTTTGGTCAATGGATTGATTTTTTTAAGTTGTATTGTCGCAAATTGGCGGTGTTTGTTTTGTGCATTGTTATTACATTTTGGTCGATGGATTGGTTTCTTAAGTGTTATAGTCGCAAATTGGATTCGATGACTTGATCTTAAGCTATCAGTGAAATGTATCATTAATTATATATTATATAGGAATCATCTTACACGAAATTTGTACGTGGACAATTTCTCAAGAAGGAGGATGGTGGGACTTGAATACTATTTTAAATAATCATCTCACTTAAAAGCTTAAATTAGTAGAAAAATGCATCATTAATTACATACTCCCTCTGTCCAATTTCTATTGTCCTTGCACCGTTCTTTAAGTAAGTGTCTTTTTGTTATAAATTGACAAATTTGCCCTTAAAAAATGTAAAATTTGTGTTTAAAAAAAAAGAAAATAGGACAATCCCAATAGGAAAGTAGGACATTAGTTTTTGGACAGACGGAGGGAGTATTATATAGTCTTCTAACACGATGGATTGGTTTTAAGTTGTATTTTCGCAAATCGGCGGTATTTGTTTTGTGCATTGTTGATTTTTGGCTCCCTTTCGAATGTATGTTAGAATTTATTGTTTCGATTCGAGTCTTCTTATGCGTAAAATTTTCAACAGAATTTTATATTTTTATCGGTTCTTTAATGTTGTATTAGCGATATATGATATATTTTCATTATTTTGTGCTCGATTGTATCGTAATAAACTTCCTTTTGCTGCCAGAACTTCTGTTTGCGAAATGATACAATCTTCTGCGGTGTTTTCGATGGCCACGGGCCGTACGGTCATTTGGTTGCGAGACGAGTGAGAGATTCCCTTCCCCTAAAGCTGAACGAACATTGGGGCGCTAGTGTCAAGATCGGTGACGGTCATAAAGAGCCCAGTTTAAATAATTCGAGCGGCGTGTGCTCGGAAGATACGCCATTTTTAGCATCCAACAACGAAGCTAGAGCTTCTGCCGACGAAGAAAACGAATGGCGTACGGAGGAGCCGTTGCATGGATTGAAGGAGTCGTTTCTCCGGGCGTATAAGGTCATGGACAGGGAGTTACGATCGCATACAAATATCGATTGTTTCTGCAGCGGAACGACGGCCGTGACTCTGGTGAAACAGGTGAGAATAAACTTTCGTTAAATGCCGTGACTGGTTACGATAGTGCCGTGTGATTAAAAAAGATCCCTTTGTTGTCCTGGATAGGGTCGAGATCTTGTCATTGGCAACGTCGGTGATTCTAGGGCCGTGTTGGCTACTCGCGATGAAAATAATTATCTTTCCGCCGTCCAATTAACGGTGGATCTCAAACCTAGCCTTCCCGGTACGACTCTTGCTTGTCCTAAATGTGTGGTTAGTGTTACTCGTTCGATATTTTTGATGGCGTTTAGTGAAATTGAAAGTGTCGCCATTTGCATTATTATATGTTGGAAGACTGTACAATACTTCTTCTGTCTCACTTCAAAGTATTTTTGCTCTTTGAGTATACATATAAAGTAATTATACGTGTAATGGTTCGTTTATAATTTATAAAGTATACGTGTATAATTACTTTTATTAAAATAAGAGAAAATACTTTTGAGTGAAATTGACGAAAATGGTAAAAAAAAGTACTGAGTTGGGACGGAGGGAATACGTAATTAATGATGTATTTTTCTATCAGCTTAAGTTTTTAGATGAACTGATCATTTATCATTATCGATTCTTGCAGGGGAAGCGGAGAGGATTCGAAAATGCAAAGGGCGCGTCTTTGCCCTTCAAGACGAGCCCGAGGTAGCGAGAGTGTGGCTACCGAACTACGACTCTCCCGGTCTTGCTATGGCCCGCGCATTTGGCGATTTTTGCCTCAAGGATTTCGGCCTTATCTCGGTTCCCGAAGTTTCCTACCGGCGCATCACAAATAGGGACGAGTTCATCGTTTTAGCGACGGATGGGGTAAAGGCGACGAGCTTTACGTACTTCCCCAAAAGGTACCATGTGCGATCTCGTTTCGTAATTTGACACGATGTTTCGATGCTGTTGCCGCAGATTTGGGACGTGCTCTCGAACAAGGAAGTCGTCGACATCGTCGATTCTTGCGCTGCCCGCGCAAATGCCGCGCGATCCCTCGTCGAGTCGGCAGTCCAGGCTTGGAGGTGCAAGTATCCGACTTCGAAAGTCGACGATTGTGCTGTCGTTTGCCTTTTCCTCGACCCGAATGAATCTGAAAATTCCGGCCGCGATAATTCGTCGTCCGGTGGCGGCGCTCGGCCAAACCGGTCGGGCCATGAGGAGGTTTCGGAAGCTGAAGAGGAATGCTCGGAGGACGACCATCGATGGTCCGCGCTGGAAGGGGTCTCGCGCGTAAATACGCTGATGGATTTGCCGACTTTCAAACCGCAGAAAGACGACGGCCACGCCGGAAAATAAAAGCCCGAATACAATTCGGTGGCGCCGCCGGCCCCGCGGCCGCCGGATTTCTAAATTTAAATTTTTATTTGTGTCTTTACATAATTCTCTAATCTTTTTGAGAAGAAGAGAAGCTCAAGAACAGGTTTTTAGAGTAGTCTCACGTGAAATGTTTTAATATTTTTTTTTTGTTTAATGTTTCTTTCTTAACGTAAGTACTTCGATTTTTGACATACAGAGGACGAAGGGTTTGCTGTTTTGCTGCATATTGACTTTGTTGTTTTGGTTCCACGGTTTTATTAGTAAAATAATACTCTTTTCTATCCGACTTAAAAGTATTAATTTTAATTTTATTTTAATTTTTATTATTTTTTTTTTGCAGTAAACTAAAAATAGTAAAATTTTATTGAATAATAGAAATATAAGATTATTGATATTTTTGTTTATAAAGTATAAAAGAAAAAAATATTTTTTGTAATACAAGATGTAAATTTTTTATTAGAACAGATAAAAATAATAATAACAAAAGTACATTTCATTTTAACGGAAGGAAGGACTATTGATTTTGAGCTTAATTTTTTATTTGTTTAACAAGATGACTTATACTTAGGGTGAACTGAGATTTTTCTTTCTTTTTTTTTTTTTTTTTTTTTTTTTTTTTTTTTTTTTTTTTTTTTTTTTTTTTTTTCACACATTCATTGTGGATGAGATCCAAAAACTAGCCCTCAAGTTAAGTGTATCTTACCATGTGATCTATAAAGGTGGTGATGACATATGAGTTACTACAAGAAAGATTCAGACAAATCTTCTGCATAGCATATGGATTTTTCAGCTCAACACACGGTATATGTACAAATAATACACATTATTATTACATACGGTACATGTTGAACAAATATGTGCTATTTTTTTTTTTTTTTTATAATAATAAGTGTGTTGTATAAGAGTATGTCATGTGATAAAATCAACTATTGTGTGTGTTATATGATAATGTGTTTGTTAGTTCATGTGTTGTATTTGCATTATATTAACATATACAATGTGTTATTTGTAATAATATTGTATGTTGTCTGAAAACACACGAGTTGAAACTATATAATGTGTTCTTTGTTCATGTGATGTATTTGTATTATATTAACATATACACGTGTGTTGTATGTAGTAATATCATGTGTTGTCAAACAGCATACCATGTGCTGTTCATCACATTGCTGAATTTTAAATTCAGTACTGTAGCCGTCATCACATTGCTGAATTTTAAATTTAGTGCTATTTAATTTTAAAATTAAATTTTAAACTCTAATTATATATATATATATATATATTTCTATCTCTTTCTTCTTAACCATGTCTCATCCTATCTTTTAAAATTTAATCTTCGTCTACACTTTTTTACCTCACACACTGTCGCATTGCACCCACAAACTCAGACTAAACATGTCTCACATTCTATCTTATCTCTTTCACTTTGCTTTAGTCTTTCTCGCTTTTCGAACTTCCGGACAAACCGTCTTTTTATCTTCTTTTCTCATGTTGAGATATTTTAGATATTCAGTTTTAGATTTAGTAGATTTATATCTAGATTTGATCTTATTCGTAGATTATATTACTTAGATTTAAGTCTATCGAGTCTGTTTTGTATTGCCTATATATAGGCCATTTATTTTGATAATTAATAAGACAATTTCATTATTTTTCCCCAAAATTTCTAACATCTCAAATTGACATTGTTCAGATAGTCACGTTCAACCTCTTATCCAATCGACGTCAATCAGTGATATTATTTTGAAAATGTATTTTAATTATGTGTTTACAGGGCTATAATTTATTTTCGCTCAGGGGCCCAAAAAAGTTCGAGATGACCCTGCATTTAATACATATTGTTTTAATTACAGTAATTTATTAGTTATTATGTATTACTCTTTTTGTATCGGCTATAATATCCACTTTATTATAGACACAAAAATCTAGAACGAGTATAATTAATAAATAATTAAAAATATAATTAAAAAATTCTAAATTAAAAAATTTAAAATAAGATTAAAGCGTATAATTATTTTTTTAAAAAATAATAAAATAAGTGGGACATACTAGAAAATAGAAAGATAGACACGGTAAATGAAGTAATTAAGACTAATCAATACAAATTAACCTTTTTTTCATCCTAACCATCCCTTAATAATTCACTGTAAGATATACAGCTTATTTTAAATGATATATTTAAGGGGAAAAAAAAAATAATTTTGGTCTAAATATAATCAATATTTATCAATTTTGGTCACAATATAAAAAAACTCATCAATTTTAGTCCAATTATAAACAATTTCAATCAATTTTAATTTTTAATTTTTTTTTTCAATTGGACCAAATAAAAAAATTTTAAAATGGCAAATAAAAATTAAAATAAAATTAAAATAAAATTTTAAAAAAATTTAAAAAACTGAAAAATAAAAAATAAAATCCACGTGGGCACGTGGCCTTTGGCGAGCCACGGGGCGTCTCCGGCGCCGAAGGACTAAAAAAACAGCTTACCCTTTATTATAAGTATATTTTCCCAAAATTTTACTATTCATTAAATAATTTCCTCAAAAAAATTAAATTAATTCTTTTATATATTTTATGTTATACTATTAAAATTAATTTTACATTAAAAATATTATTCTATTTAAAAAGTATACATTTATTTTTAGCATGAAGTTTCAAAAATAATAATACTATTTTAATTATAAGGTAGTCAAAAGTAATGTAAAAATAATTCTGCCTTTACGTTTTTTTTGTAAAAATTATAATGTGATAGTAAAATAGATATATATTATATATATATAAAGTATTTTTTAGATTATACTCCCCAATTCGCCTCCAACGATCATATTTACCTTTTACCTCGTTGTATTAACATTAAAAATATACTTTATAATTTTTTTTGCAAATATCCTATTGGTATTATAAGACACTAATTGAAGTATTTTTTAATTTTTTTCTAATTTGTGCTACGTTTTGATATAAAAATTAATATTCAAATATCAACACGCAAAAACTAAATGAGACGCTTAAAATCGGACGAAGATAATATTACTTTGTAATTATACTAGACAATAGAAATATATCACCAAATAAACATTATACTATTATTCAAATTCAAAATTTTTAGTATAGTCAAAACTAAATACAAATTCCCGACCAAACACACTTATGTTATAATTTTGTTTTATGTCAAGGATCAAACACAGACAAAATTGTGGCAAGAAAGTGCACCCGTGGGGGCAAATTGTATTGAGGTTGATTTATCATTATTATTATTATTATTATTCAAAATTAATAAATTAAATGATCGATCATCTTCCTCGTCAAAACGACTTCTGTTCCGTTGTATTCACCTGCAAATTCTATTCCTTATTCTATAAATACCTCAAGCTTTGTTGCAATGGATTCAAATCACTTTCCCACACAATACATAATTAACAATGGCTTCCTCGACCACCTCTTTCCTCCTCATATCCGCAGCAATCCTACTTTCCGGCATATCACCGCCACCGGCAGCGGCGGCCCGGACCTTCTCCGGCGAGACATCGATGGTGGAGAGGCATGAGGCATGGATGGTGCAGTACGGACGTGCCTATAAAGATGATGCCGAGAAAGCCAAGAGGTTCCGAATCTTCAAGGACAATGTGGACTACATCGAATCCGTCAACGAGGCCGCAACCACGTCCTACAAGCTTTCGATAAATCAGTTCGCCGATTTGACAAACGAGGAGTTTCAAGAGTCGCGCAACGGATATAAGACCTCCGCTCGCCCCAAAACATCGGCGTTTAGGTATGCGAATGTGACCGCGGTTCCATCGAGCGTCGACTGGAGAAAAAAGGGGGCCGTCACCGGTGTTAAGGATCAAGGCCAATGCGGTACATTTAATAACTTGTTTTGAAATATCGAAAAAAAACGAACTGTTCTTGAGCTTAGCTATTTTAAAGATCAAGATTGTCGTAGCTAACAAACTATTCGACTGATAAACGAGCATAGCTAATTAGCTTATAAGCTCGGCACATTAATATTTGACAGCAGTTATAATATTGAATTTTATAATTCAAAAATAGATACATTATGTTAATATAATACAGATCCAGTATATTCTATAAATGATCAAATACAAAAGAATATATTTATACAACATACTTACGTATGAACTAACAGTACATATTTTTCAAATAACACATGTATTGTGTAAAATAAAAACATATATTGTCTGTCTATTTGTTAACTATACGACAAATCAGTATAGTGTTGATTTTCTCCGAGCATTCAGCACGGTAACTATTCTTTTAATATTTATCTAATTTTGTCGAAATGTAGGATGTTGTTGGGCGTTTTCCGCGGTCGCGGCCGTCGAAGGAATCCACCAACTCAAGACAAAGTCGCTCGTATCCTTATCCGAGCAAGAGCTCGTTGACTGCGACACAAGCGAGGACGAGGGATGCAACGGCGGACTCATGGACAACGCCTTCGAGTTCATCGTCCAAAACCACGGCCTAACGACCGAATCGAGCTATCCATACCAAGGAACGGACGGCACCTGCAACTCCAAGAAGGAATCCTCGAGCGCGGCCAAGATCACCGGGTACGAGGATGTCCCCGCCAACAGCGAATCGTCATTGATGAAGGCGGTGGCCAATCAGCCGGTATCCGTCGCCATCGATGCTAGCGGATCCGATTTTCAATTCTACTCGAGCGGAGTGTTTACGGGACAGTGTGGAACTGATCTAGATCACGGTGTCACGGCCGTCGGGTACGGGAAGACGAGCGACGGGACCAAGTATTGGCTCGTGAAGAACTCATGGGGGACGAGCTGGGGCGAGAGCGGATACATTCGGATGCAGCGCGGCGTCGACGCCGCCGAGGGGCTGTGTGGCATTGCAATGCAGGCTTCTTATCCGACGGCCTAGAACTAACTCATTATTGTACGCACTATGTGATCATTTATCAAAAAATGACTCTGGTTATCAAATGATTGAACAATCGGCAGCAATTTAGTTACGTTCGTACGTTGTATAAATTTGGATATTGTTTATATGTTGTAATGAAGAAAGATGGTATTTAAGCAACGTACACTTCCGATTGTAATGCAAATTTCAATTGTATGCAATTATAAGAATTTCGATCAATCATTGAAATTTATGGAATTGAACAGAATCTCTTCGGCTAGGGTCATTGGGGATTTATTAGTAGTGTGTATTGTTAGATTTATATATCTAGAGGGGTTAGGGTGAAGGTGTTGATTTGAAAAATTCAGAAGAATTTATTACATACAGTACATACGGTGTGTAATATAGATATGTCTTTTTTGTTTAGAATTATATGTGTAGTCTATGAGAGTATATCATGTGATAAAATCAATTGTTGTGTGTATGTTGTATGTAATTATTAGAGCTGACAAAAACTGACCCGACACGAAATAATTGGGTTTGGGTCAAAGATTTCAACCCGATTATGTATACGGGTTGACACGAACCCGACACGATAATAAACAGGTCGGGTTAGGGTTGAGACTTTTAACTCGAACTCGACAAGACAACTCATTATAATATATTAATATTGATTAATATATTTATTATATATGTAAAATAATCATAATTTATTAATTTTTTCATAAATCAATTTAAACTAAGTTCAATTTTAAATAATTTAACCTAATTTACGCTCAAACCAATAAAAACTAACATAACACGACAACACAACAAAAAATTATTTAATTTGAATCAAGAAATTCGACTTAATTATGTATACGGGTCAACACGAGTCAACCCGAATCCGACGCGATAATAAACGGGTCAACACGAACCCGACACGATAATAAACGGGTTGGGTTAGGGTTGAGTAATTTAACCCGTTTAAAGTATTCAACCGGACACGAATCGACCCATTGCCAGCTCTAGTGACTATAGTATGTGTTATTTATATTATATTAATAAAGAATATACTGCCAGAAGTAATACAGTATGTTGTTTATTATTACATTATGTGTTGTTAGTTTATATTTTTTATTTGTATTATTAATATAAAGGATGTGCTACCATAAGTAATACATTGTATTGTTTATTATAATACAGTGTGTTGTTCAATACAATACTGAATTTTGAATTCAGCACTATATCTAATGTGTTGTTGATGTATATATGAATGTGTTATAACCCCGGTGCTTATTAATTAGTATAGTAAGGGTGTGTTTGTTTGGGGGTTTGGATTTTGGATTGGGATTTGAATAGTAAAAATTTTGAATTTGAATAGTTGTATGATGTGATATAAATAGGGTTTGATGTGATGTTTTGAATGTAAAATTGATTTTTAGTATAATATAAAAATGAAAAATAGATGTTTGATTTGATGTTTTTGGGAAAAAAAAATTGGATGAATAGTGAAAATCCTCCAAAATCCTTCAAACAAACACACCCTAAGTGTCTTTGAAACATAATTATATATAAACATAATTATATATAGATGGGATCCGTCGAAATGTTGATTAGGATTATAATTTAGAACCTGATAGCATATAGTGTGCTAACAGACGGTACACCATATTTGCTACAAATTATATATTATTTATATTAATATAATACTTCCTCCGTCCTAAATACCATATTCATATTGCCGTTTTTATCCGTTTTACATGCCATGTCATTTTTTTTTTGGAAAATGATTACACACTTTAATCTCATTTTAAATTTTAAATTTTTTTTTTTAATTTTAATTAAACTAATTAGTTATCTTAATCTTAATTTATAATTATTTATATTATAAGATAATTATTTTCACTGGTAGTGAAAATAATACATCCCTCCTAAAATACCGTGTCTAATTATCTACTAATTACATCCCTCCTAAAATACCGTGTCTACAGTGTAGTGGACACGGTATCTGGGACGGAGGGGAGTACAAATATAATACATGAACTAAAAACACATGATATAGTTTTACACATTATATACAACTATTGATTTTAGCGCATAACATACTCTTATACCGTACAACATTGTAGTTATGAACAAACAAATGTGTTAATTTGTATATTTTATGTGTGTGGATTTGGCCAATAAAAACAGTGCTGATTTTTCAACTATTCCCATAATTAATACTTTCTCCGTCTCATTTGAAAGGACTCTTTTGAAGTTTTATAATATATTAAAAAAATAATAGTATTTTATTGGTCAATAAAAATGATTAAAAAAATTTGATATTTTTGTTATTTAATTTTATGTACAAAGTAATTTTAAATATTAAGAATATTTTAGTATTAACGTATAACTACTTTTACTAAAAAAAATAAATTGATACTTTTAAATTAGACGGACATAAGTATTTTGAATTTAAGAGGAGTAATACATAATTGTAAGCTAGAGTAGAGTTAAATCAAACATCAAATCAAACACCTATTTATATTACATCATACAATTATTCAAATTCAAAATTTTTACTTTCAAATTCCAACTCAAAATCCAAGCACAGCTATAAACTTGGTTTACTTGTATTTTATCTTATTATTTATATTTCTTTAATGTTTTATTTAGAAGTATTTTTTACAATGTAAGATATGTAAAATGTATAAAGTAGTATTTTAGATTGAAACTCTTTGTTAGATAATAAAATACATATTAACACAGTTGGAATTGTATTAAATTTGAGTGAACAAAACCAGAACTTTTATTTTAAATAGTGATACTTTATCAGGAAAAAAATAAAACACATAAAAAAAGAAAACCTCAAATCTTGAACTGAGATCATAATTAATTTTTATTTTTAATAAGATTAATTAAATTTTGGAGTGATCTTTTGGAATCTATTTTATTTTTTTGGTTTGAATAGTAGTTTCCCTATTATATTTTATAAGAAAAAAATTGTATGTTTTATAGTATAAATTTGCTATTATCATATAATAAAAAATACTATCAAACTTTGAAATAAAACTTTTAAGTATTTAAAATTAAAATACTTTAAAACTTTGGCCATATTTTACTTAAGATTTAATTCAATTTTTTTTTCTACAATTGTCAATTTTTTTTTTTTTTTTTTTTGTAAAGATATACCAATTTTTTATTTGTTTGATTTTAATTTGAATGTTAATTTAAATGGTATTTTGATATTATATACTATTTTAGAAAATATAATATATATTTTTTTAAAATCACAGTAATTAAATAATATTGAAATATGTTTGTATTATCGCTCAAAATAATTTTCTACAGCTTGCTTCCTTAAGAAATAATTTGGAACAGTGTCTAATCAGTCAAAAGCCAATCAAATGGAATTGAAATGAACTGCCGGGAAATTGAGATGATAGGAACAGATAGAGCTGCTAACGAACTGAATCGAGCTGAGCTGAGCTGAGCTGAGCCGAGCCGAGCCAAATTTTAAGTGTTCGTTAACGTTCGCGAACAAAGCTCGTGCTCGTTCGTTAAACTTTCGAGCTCGTTCGTAGTGTTCGAGCTCGGCTCGATAAGAATTTTTTGTTGTTTGAGCTCGTGTTTGTGTTCGGCTCGATAAGAATTTTTTGTTGTTTGAGCTCGTGTTCGTATTCGGCTCGATTAAGCTCCTTCGAGCTTGTATGCCACATTTTTAACAATTTATATATAATTTAAAAAGAAATATTAAAATTATTTTATTTATATATTTTAAATTAATATTTTATTTATTTATTAATTATAATTTTATATGCATATATAATATTTATAATAAATATATTATTTAAACGAACATTCGCGAACAAAGTTCGGGTTCGTTCATTAACCAAACAGACCTGTTTATGCTGTTCGGCTCGGCTCGTTAACATTCGCGAACGAGCTTTAACCGAGCCGAATAGAATTGAACCGAGTCGAGTTCAAAAACAACTTGATTCGTTTAACAGCTCTACGAACAAGATTGAATTAGGAACAACGTACCTTTGGTATCAAATTGTATTGATGTTGAATTATTATTATTATTATTATTATTATTATCATTATTCCAAATTAATAAGTTAAATTATCGATCATCTTCCTCGTCAAAACGACTTCTCTTCTGTTGTATTCACCTGCAAATTCTCTATTCCCTACTCTATAAATACCTCAAGCTTTGTTGCAATGGATTCAAATAACTTTCCCACACAATACATACTTAACAATGGCTTCCACGACTACCACTTCCATCCTCATATTAGCAGCAATCCTACTTTCCGGGATGTCGCCGCCACCGGCCGCGGCGGCCCGGACCTTCTCCGGCGAGACATCGATGGTGGAGAGGCACGAGGCATGGATGGTGCAGTACGGACGTGCCTATAAAGACGATGCCGAGAAGGCCAAGAGGTTCCGAATTTTCAAGGACAATGTGGACTACATCGAATCCGTCAACGAGGCCGCGACCACGTCCTACAAGCTTTCGATAAATCAGTTCGCGGATTTGACAAACAAGGAATTTCAAGAGTCGCGCAACGGATATAAGACCTCCGCTCGCCCCAAAACGTCGGCGTTTAGGTATGCGAACGTGACCGCGGTTCCGTCGAGCGTCGACTGGAGAAAAAAGGGGGCCGTCACCGGTGTTAAAGATCAAGGCCAATGCGGTACGTTTAATAACTTGTCTTGATATTCAACAAAACGAACTGTTCGTGAGCTCAGCTATTTTAAAGATCAAGATTGTAATAACTAACAAACTACTCGACTAATAAATGAGCATAGCTAATTAGCTTATAAGCTCGTCACATTAATATTTGACGGCGGTTAAAATACTGAATTTTATAATTTTACACTGTACTAACAATACCACTATAATAGACAAGCATACGTTTTGTTAACATAATATAGGGTTTGGGATCAACGGTTGATCCGATGAAGTTACCATGATGCTGATTTGACCGGATAACATATATTATAAGGGTGATCAGCAATATTTATACATATATCAGCATATTTATAATACATCATATATTATATTATAAATAACATATGATATCTTATAACATACATATGCTATTAAGATATGTATAAAACTATATTGATCACCTCTATAACATATATTAATATAGTCAAATTAACACTATATTGAGTTAGCCGAATCAGCACAGGATCTTCTGTCATAATATAAATATAATATATTTTACAATTGATTGAATAATAAAAAAAAAATGTTTATACAATATATTTATAAGTATGAACTGACTAACATATGTTTTCAAATAATACAATATGTATTGTGTAAAATAAAAGCATATATTGTCTGTCTATTTGTTAACTGTATGACAAATCAGGATAGTGTTGATTTTCTCCGATCATTCAGCACCGAAACTATCCCTTTAATATTTTTCTAATTTTTTCGAAACGTAGGATGTTGTTGGGCATTTTCCGCGGTCGCGGCCGTCGAAGGAATCCACCAACTCAAGACAAAGTCGCTCGTATCCTTATCCGAGCAAGAGCTCGTTGACTGCGACACAAGCAAGGACGAGGGATGCAACGGCGGACTCATGGACAACGCCTTCGAGTTCATCGTCCAAAACCACGGCCTAACGACCGAATCGAGCTATCCATACCAAGGAACGGACGGCACTTGCAACTCCAAGAAGGAATCCTCGAGCGCGGCCAAGATCACCGGGTACGAGGATGTCCCCGCCAACAGCGAATCGTCATTGAGGAAGGCAGTGGCGAATCAGCCGGTATCCGTCGCCATCGACGCTAGCGGATCCGATTTCCAGTTCTACTCGAGCGGAGTGTTCACGGGACAGTGTGGAACTGATCTAGATCATGGTGTCACGGCCGTCGGATACGGGAACACGAGTGACGGGACCAAGTATTGGCTCGTGAAGAACTCGTGGGGTACAAGCTGGGGCGAGAGCGGATACATTCGGATGCAGCGCGGCGTCGACGCCGCCGAGGGGCTGTGTGGCATTGCAATGCAGGCTTCTTATCCGACGGCCTAGATCTAAGGATCATATTTATCTTTAGTGTTTATATGTATGTATGTATATAGACATAAATATGGAGCTAAGAATGCTGTGTTGTGACAAAGATTATTGTAATGTTCGACAAAATTTAACAGTGTAAGCATGAAGGAAATTTGCCTTACAAATCCCAATCTAAAATGGCCTTAAGCTTAAAATTTGTTTATTAGATATCAATTCAAATCATAATTTCATTTAAATATTACGTAGTTTTTTTTTTTAATAAAATTACGTGTTATACCTATTTATATTGTATAATATATTATTTTTATTTAACAGTTTTACTCTTAAAAAATAAAAATAAACTTGCATAACATAATGTGTTTTTGTTTGCCACAAAATATCCAACATATTTCTCCAAAAAAAAATATTAATATATACCAAATATTCATTATTTTTATATTATATACATAATTTCCTATATCTCACATAAAAAAATTTTCTTCAAACCAAAAAAAAAAAACAAACCAACCCTTTTTTTTTTGTGGATTTTTCAAAAATTTTGCTATTTTGTTCTTTTTCCACTAAAAATATTAAATCAAATCATTGTTTTTTATATTACACAATATCTATTTATAACACATTAAATAATTATTCAAATTCAAACTTTTACTATTCAAAAAATTCAAATCCAAAAATCAAATTCACAAACAAATAAAATACTAATGTTTTGCATTTAAATAAACTATAATGAGTGAATAACTAAAAAGTGTATTAATAAAAAAATATCGTATAATAAATATAATTATAAATTAATATTAATATAGCTAAATAATTTAATTAAAATTTTTAAAAATTATAACTTATGTGATTAAAGTGCATAAATTATGTAAAATCGACCAAAATAAAAAATATGGACAAAATATGTGAAATAAAGAAAGTACAACATAAAAAGACACATTCATTGAACAAACCTATTTCGGCCACAAATTTCACCCCCCATAATAATTTGTTTTTTCAAGGCAAACGTAAATGAACCAAGACAAACAATATAAATAAAACTCGATTTGTTATGGAACAAGTCTGAATCTTGTTTGTTAACATTCCTTAAAAAAACATAAATAAATGAAATATTATATATATGAATGTATAAATTAAAAGACAAATCCAAACAAACTTATTCGAAGCAAACACGAACTCAAACAATAAGATTTCTGTAAAATAAGATTTCTTAACAAAACAAGCTCAAATACTTAAACGAACAAGAATACAAACACTTGAAAATCTTGTGCAGTTCGACTCGAAGACAACCGTACAGAACCCATGCTATTGTAATCACATCACAGTTCAATCATATATGGCATCGGTTATGAACTAACAATAGCACGGCAATCTACATAACACGTACTAGTTAAATCGGACCTGCATTGAGGAATAATTACTCATACGCAAATTAAAACTAATCATCAACCAAACAACTTCCATGATCTCTAAGTCAATGCTGAGTGTTCACTAAGACAACAGGGCAAAGTGACCAAAAGCTTTAAAGATTCTAAACCACAGGAAAGAAGATCAATACCAAATGCTGAAAGCAAACAAGCGAGCAAGCATACCATGTCCATGTCGATTTCACTCTCCGGCTACAAGCAAATAATTGGATCAGCACACGCCTGTTTAGTTTAAACATACGAGCACACTCAACATTTATCGGTTTCACAAACTAATAAGATTTTGTCCCCACACTCTAAAATAAAAACTCTTCATAAGTAATTTGGTAAGGATAGCGCAACAATTCAATATCCAAGTGCGGTTAAAAGCAACAAGTAATAACAACTCAGTCTTCTTCCTCAGCCTCCTCTAGCCATTTCACCAACGGCTCCAACGACTTCACAAATGTTTGCCTGTCAAGCCATTGCGTAGAAATAATGTCAAACTTGATTGAGAGCAAAGTAAAATTATATTAAATAATAACCAACAAAATCTAAGAAATGCTAGCACACCTGCCCTTGAGGTTTGTTCCTTTACGGAACCAGTGAAGAATGGTGTCTTCGGCAAGCACATCCTGATCGTAGAGCGACTTAATGATTTCGGGAAATAGTTTCATCAGCTTGGTATCTTCGTAGCACTGGACCTGAACTTTGTACATAAGTTCAAGCTGGAGCCTTCCGCTGGTGCAGAAGGCATTAAGCAGCTCAGCCCATGATTTTACCTGAGCAAAATCCAAGAGGTAACAATTTCTGAATCAGTGATTTTACGGGCGAATTATCAGTCGGAATGATATCGAGATGGTACATGTATTAAGCAGATTTTTTTAATAAAACCTGGCGAAGTGCTGAATTAGCATTTTGCTGCTGATTTTTCCCAGACCATTGGACAGCATCCATCAGGACATCCCATAGAATCCGAACAACCTCAATGTCCGGAAATTTAGAATCTTTCACATGTTGTTTGACAGTTTCTATGACTTCAGCCACATCAGCCTCTTCTGATATCTGAGTTGTTATTGCAGTTTTCATTTCCTTAAGCTTAACCTCAAATACTTTCTTTTCATAGTACTCAACCAATGGTTTAAGCTCCTCCTTGCTGAGAAGAGATCACACAAATAACTTACGAAGATCAGTAACAAGTACGTGTACCCAAACCAAGGTTCAGTTTCTACGGATGAGATGAATCAAGAATAGAGTGCAAAATACTGTTAGTCAAAGACGAATAAACGGTGGCGCATCCATAAGAATTTCACTTTCATGTAATCATCATCGAGACACAATGATGTTAAATAGCACAAATCACAATGTTATAGGTCAGTTATGAATTGCAATGCAATCTAAACACGATTAACACAATAATGGGGGCTGTTCACTATAAGACCTAAATGCCGCAACCTGATTCTACCAGGTATAACACAAATTGAAATTTTCAAAAAAGGATGCATATGTCTATTTCTCTTTTTCTCTTCTTTTTTTTTTTTTTTTTTTGCATGCAAAAGAAAGCTAAGAGTTTGGGGCAGGAGGGACTTGAAAAAGGAAAATCAAAAGTATCAAAGTGTAGTCATGAGCCAGCTCTGTTTGCTTGTACGTTTCACAAGTTTTCATTATTAAAAAAAAAAAATACACTCACTATCCTTTTCTATCATAAAAAATAGACATTTTCCTTTTTAGGAAAAAATCAAACCACCATTTTAATTCCAAATTTTTATTAATAAAAACCCAAAGCCCACAAACAAATAGAGCCTACACTCATAAGATACACACATGCACACATAGTATCAATTGCATTCTTGCCAACATAACTAATGGTTTAGAGCAGTAGAGGGAACTTACTTGAAATGCTCAGATAATGCTTCTGGTGTCTGCTTAGAAGTTGGGAAAAAATCCAGAAGGTTGTCCTCCATTTTTCCCCGCTTCAAAATTGAAACGAGGTCATCCAGACTATTATCAATGAGATATTCCTTGAAAAAATCAGTGATGAATGAAAGAACTATCCCTTTGGCAACAAGGTTATTATCTTTGAGTAGTGGTTGGAACACCGTCTCAGGCTGGAGACCCGACAATTTCTGGGAAAAGGCAAGTGCTGTGAATATACCAAGCTTCTTCCTTTCATCATCTGTGAAAAGTTCCAAAGATTGAAGGAATCTTTGCATAACATTTTCAAGATTCTTTATGAGAAAAGGCTTCCTCCTCAAAAGCTTCTGAATATATATTACAGAAGGCAGAATAACTTCCCGCTTAGGCTCACAGTCAATTATGGAGTAAGGGTGACGCTCCCCCTCCTCAAGTTTGACAGTGCCAGATTGTGTACGGCCCCCTCTGAAAACCACCTGCATTTATTGGAGAAGACATTTGAACCCACTTAGCCAGGTTACCGTAACATTCATCAAAGTAATAATAGAAAACGAAAACATTAACCTATGATCAAAGATAGCGTCATTCTCAAACCACAAACATTAACCTATGATCAAAGATAGCGTCATTTTCAAACCAGCAAAGATAAACTTAGAAAAATGTCAAGTTCCTGGTTTCAGTTGGGCAACCCAAATACTTGAAGTTCAGTATGAACTCTTGTCCAATGGAAAACGAGAAACAATGAAAGTTTCCCTTCTTTTAAAGTTTAAAATGCAACAAGGCTTGCAACAAAGGTAAAAAAACAGTAATGCAGTTTATCCTTATAATGTGTTTTAAGTATTAAACCCACATGACTAGTAAAACATCATTATTGCAGTTCTTGAACTGCGAAAGAGCATCGACTAGGTATTCTTCTAAATTTTCTCACAACAATAAACTTTATGCAATTTATTTATAACTCAAGAACCAAGACCAAGTGATGCATCTTCCCTTGGGCAGTAAAGATGACTTCTATTTAGAAAAAATAGAAGATGAAAGGGTGGGTGATTAACATCGAACCAAAAAGAAGTTTCAGAACTTTGTAAAAAATAGCATAGGATTCATCACAGCAACGATCGTGCTTCTAGTTTAAGTCTGATCAAAATCAAATGAGAAATCTACCTCAAAAAAGGTGTCCCCGTATCTTGAGAAATTAAGATCTGAAGATTCAATGCTCTTTGCAACAAGCTCCTGTAAGACACACATATAGGTCAAATATCATTTTAAAAATCTTGCATACAAAACATTCAGACAGCATGATGACACAATGCAGGAACCAAGGAAAATTAACATGCAAGTAAATCAAAAGTAAAATAATATGTAAATAAATCTGTAAGTACCAGATCACCAGCATTATCCAAGTAAATCTGGACCACTGCATCCGAAAATGCCGCAGGGTCCAGCGGCGCAGCAATATTCCGTTTGCGGGTCTTAATCCGCGTGCCACTGTAAGTACATAGTAGAGAATATAGAACATTCAAACAGAAACGCTGAGTAAATCTGGCTAGTGATGAATTCCTCTAAGAACTGTTAACCACCCACGATTTCCATCCATAGTTATGTTATTTTCATTAGGTAAAAATCATTTAAAATATAAGCTCAAGTGACGAGTCTTTAAAACTTCATGCTTGATTCAAATAAAAGGAATTGAAAAGAGAAGAAAGGAAAAAGACAAAACAAAAGGTTTGGTTAGAAGGAAAACTTTCTTCTTTCCACCCAAACAAAAGCTTCCATCCATTTTTGGGTGAAAAGCTATCTCCTTCCTTCCCTTTCTTTTATTTCATTTATTTTTTCCTTTCACGCCCTTCTCCTTTAAACTTCCAAACTAGCCTAGTGACGAAGCTTGAACATTTTTGCTGGTCATATTTTCATATGAAAAAGAAAGGAAAAAGAAAAAGCTTATAACCCCAATAGCTTTTATTCAAATTTCAAATAAGTTTTTATCTCTTCCATATAAATTCAATAGTCTCCTAATTATTCAATAATTACATTACAAGAGTTTTCACTTATAAATAATACCGATGCCCTACATGCAGATGCTTCTTTTTCGCTTCTAATAGGAATACAAAAAGTAAAATGGTTATATATATGTTTATATATTGAAAAGGTTGTGGATAGATTGATAAGTTTTTTTAAAAAAAGCGTTGTGGGAAATTTCTAAGAACTTTTTCTTTTTAGAGCAGTTCTAAACAGGAGGGACAATTCAGGTCTTTACCGAAAACATATCAAATTGCAGTTAAAACACTCCCTTACTTTATAACCTAACAATTAAACTATGAATCTCGGCCATACCTTATCACACGATCCCATAAATTTATACATTATAAGTTAATTAGAAAAATTAACAAGAAATATATATATACTCTGAACCATATAATCTTGTTTAGTTTTGGCAAAATTAAACACTGTTTCATAAACTAAAAACTTAGATCCAAACAAAGAGGGGATTCATTTAAAGAAGAAGCTTGAAATTAAAACAAAACCACAAGATCGTATTATTCATCCAATAAAAACAGAGATTAATATGACAATCCCTTGCACATGAAACATACGAATTTGCTAACAACTACGATTCCATCCCTTTCCAGGAAATCGAGAGAGACACTTACCCGAGAGTGGGCTTCTCCTTAGAGCTGCAATCAGAAACACATAAAAAACGAAAATTAGTGAATCTAAAGGCAAACCAATCCAGATCGAGGGAAATATATTCATCGCCAAAACGAGCGAAACATAATACATAATAATAAACTAAAAAAACCCTCCTTGGACACACCAATCCCTTTACAAGAAATCGCACAAAAAGAACCGATCAAAATCGAATTTCCGAATCGATACAGAAATACCAACACACAAATAAAATTCTCCAATTACAAATCTAAACAAAACCAGAAAACAGCAGATCTGAGTCCAAAAAGCGCAGAAATTGAAAAGAAAAGGCAGAGGAACATAAAATCGAATACAAAAATTAAAGAATCGTTATCGCTTACCTCATAAACCGCTTTTAGGGGGATCGAAATGAAGGCAGAGTCCGAAGAGACTCGCGCGACTGGAAAAAGGGGAAAAGGGGGCGGAGAGGGGCGGATGGGTGCAAACTGAATGGAGGAATATCGGAGAAGGGTTTTTATATATATGAGGAAAAATATGAATGTATAATGGAACCGTTCAGAAAAGAAAGGGAGACTACATGTGAAGCCATGGGACACGTGTCGGAATATGGGCTATCAGTACGTACTTATTGCGATCTGATCCTCGTGTGGGCTCCACTTTTAATTGCCGATTAAATAAAGATAAAAAAAAAAATTATATAAAAAACTAGTGTGATCAATTTATTAAAAAAAAAAATGAAACAATATTACTCGTCCTATTTATATAATACGAATAAATAAAATAGATATATTTATTTTAACATTAATTTTATAAAAATGAGTTTTTTTAATATGGATAAAAATATTTGCTTATTAATTAAATAAAAATAAAGAGATTTTAAGTGGAAAGATGAGTAAGAGCAAATAGAGTACTCTTTATTACCATAGCTTATCACCTGCGACAAGACAATCTCGAAGAAGCTGAAGAAAAAAACTCACGCAATGACTCTTTTCTTAAGGTAAAAAAAATCAATGGGATTGGAAGAGGATTTCGTGCCGAGAAAGGCCTTGGCAAGCCATTTTTCTCATCTTTTTCCTCTTTCTTCATCTACCTTCTCTCTCATCGTCTGATTTTTTGCAAGGAAATATTGGCAAATACCTTCATCCGTACTTTTCATCAAAACTAATTTCGAGATTAATTTTAAGGGACATTTTGATTTATATTCCTCTGACCTATAACACATTTAAATTCAGTCCATCTTTAAATTACTTTATAATATAACGAATATTGTATGTACTCATGTTATTTTAGTATAAACCTACATTATCTAATTACATACTATAAAATTATCCGTCTGTATAAAGAAAATGTTAAGTCATGTACCTAAAAATTTTATATATGTACTGAAATAAGTTAAAGTAAATTAAACTAAAAAACAAAATAAAACTCTATTAAAACCCACCATCCGAATTGTGGCTTGGTTATTTATTCGAAACTCATCATCCCCACGTTGCCCCTCTTCGTCGAAACTCCCTGCTAAAGTAATAATCATTGAGCCTCCTTGCAGAAAGTTTTGTCGCCGTCGGAAGTCTCCACTCACTGGCCATAGCTCCATTCTCGTTCGAGATGTGAAAAAAACCTCCACTTCAAAACATAGTTTGAAAAGAGTAAGTTAAAGTTTATGATTTTTGTATGATTAAGTTTTTGAGTTCATGTTGTACTTAGATTTATTTTATTTTTGTGCGTCGGTTGAATTTGTACAAGTTTCGGTAATGAGTCATTTTACTTTAACATTGTATCGAGTCGAATATGAGTTATTTTGATGTATTTGAAATTATAAATGATCTTGTTGTCTTTAGAAGTACCTTCATGTGTATTTTTCTAAGTTTATATTTATAGTAAAATAATTAAGACATGAGGCGGATGGTGCTCCTTGTTTTTTTTTCAAATACCATAGGCAAATTGTATCTTTTCGGAAGATTTTCTAAGTACAAAGGTATTGGGTGATGTCTCTGTCATGGGATTGGTTATAGATGTATCCAGTTTTATTCATTAGTAAAAATTTTGTTTGTTCTTTATATTGTTTACAAGTGTCTCCCATTGTCTTTGGAGTGACTTGATTGTTAATTAATATGTCTCAAATAGAATATTACTTACCTTCGTAGTTATGCCATAAACTTGTGTTTGTGTTGGGTATACTCATAAACACATATTTTTGTTTGAAATGATGACAGATAAAAAAAAAATACAAAGAACGTATCTCCAGATTTTCTATACATTTCTTCTATACTAAGATGGTTAAATTTAAAGTTGGAATGAACAACAAACAACTGAAAGCTTTGCAACTCACACCGTTTGGTTATGTGGAGGAGTTTTTATAAATGGCGAAGTAAAGAGACCGTTACAGATGTCAATGTGAGAGTTTCGATTGTGGGCTACTTGTGTACACGTACATTGAGAGTTACACTTTAGATTATCCACCAGGCAACTGGGTGTTCGAATTCGATGATGTCAAGGCTTGTTGGACTAAAATTGCTGCAAGAATTTTAGCAGTGGCACCATAGGGTCTTTCTAATTCAATTTGAATGTTTGGAATGTGATTTGTTACAATCAGATTGATGAATAACTTAGATTTATGGTCAGGTAGAGGGTACTTAGCCGTTTGTATTATTTTTTAAACTAACGCATGATATTTTAAGAGATTGTTTATATGTACTTACATTATAGTCATTTATACGTCTGTATACATGATAGGTAATCCAAATTTTCTAATATATATCTCTGTATATTACTTGGACACCCAAATCACATGCAAAAATGTATTGGAAGAGAACATGTACCAAAAAAATTAAATAATATACTTCAGTTGGATAAATTCTAGAATTGGATGTCGACAAAACCCTAAGCGAATACCATATACCCCAAATGATGATATTTGTACCTTTATTTCGAATTTATATACCTCTGAACTAATCCACTCGTACGAAGGAATATGATCTCTAAGTAGCTTTATCCGCAATCGACATACAGTCAGAAGATGTGTACTCACCAAATTGTTTTGAAGCTCCGATGGACCGATGACAAATCCACATTAATAATATGTTCCCTACAATATGAGAAAGACCAATATGTTTCACTAATAATATTTTCGATCCATTCCAGTTTATTTACTTTCGTTTGGTGTTACTTCTCACTCTCAGAAATGCTTAGATGGAAAATCATGTTACAAAGAACGTATGAGGTCATCAGTTATGCAGTGACTTCAATATATCTATTACCATGGGTCACCTCAACATATTTTATTTCATATCTATTATAAGTGACATTCTTCATCCACTATTGAATGTATGGATAGGTTCATTGTATGTCGTCTCGGAAGTATTTCTTACTGCACACTCACTGTCCAAAAAGTGGATATGATAAATTAACTCATAGTTATTTGATTCAACATCATTGATAAATTTTGGCCCTGTTGGTTGAATACCCGTGTTCACATTAATAATACCTATGCATGAATATGAATACTTTCATACACAAAGATACACCAACTTACTCGTACTATGCATACCTCTGGTATTAACGAATATACTTTTTAAACTTCATAGAATACCCGTATTGTCACTATAACAATTCTGTTCAAAAATTAAATACCTAGACGTGATTCAATGTTAATGTAATTTGAGATAAATGATGAAAACACATTGTGGGTCATATTATACTATAAGAAGTACTTTGGGGACACAAAAGACCTTAGGTATTATGCTGAATTTAATTAACCAAGCTTCATATCTAGTGTATTTTCGTCGTTGATAATTGTTAACATTGCTCATATTTTATACAACTACAATAATTTGTAATATACTTTTGTTGTGAATTCACATACTCATGGATATAACTAATTTGAAATTAATTTGTAATGATACATACTCCCACATATTAGTTGTGTATACCGAAAAATATAAAAGGAATGTCATCTAAATTTGAAATCATTCAATAGTGGTCTCATACAAAGATATCCGTTCAATGCACAATCATAAAAAAAAAAAAAAAATTCCAGTCATATGATGAGAAATAAAAAATACCTAAGATAAAGCCTCCTTATAACTTTGTCGGTTATATCCTAGGCGACCACCACTACTATATTTTTAGATTTTTTCACCTAATGTGATTCAAACCGTCTTTTTTTGCCGGCCTAGTTGGACAGATATTGTACGAGAAATTATCTTTCCTGCGGGTTGTTCTGCATCACATCTATCGTTTCTTGGATGGTTGCAATTATGCAATAAAGTTTCGAGCAAGTGGCATAGCCTCCACAACATATATTATATGCTGCCCAAAATCCTTCCGCAGAGGTGCGTAAACAACTTTGTTGAAAACGAACGAAATATGGTGCATAAGATATCTCTGCATTACCTATACGAAATATAATTAACTTGTTGCATTTATCATAATAAATTAAACATATATTCTACACATACCTGTGTGCGAAAGTCGTTCATTAAATGCCGAAGACAGTATGCGTGGTGGGCTTCAGAAAATACAGTGATAATAGATTTTAGAAATTCCAAGTGTCTATCTGAAAAAACATTAGTCTTTTTAATTATATCGACCATCAACATAAAGAACATACCTTAAAATCCAGCAAAATAATTTCTAATTTTCATCATTTTCGACAGACACAACTGCAGAAAATAAGATTTTATGAACATCCAATATACTAGCATAAGAAATACCAATGTTCATACATGAGTATTTGTAGTACATATCAACCAAACCATAGTATCTTCAAACAAATAAAATATACAATAGCATACAACATGGGTATAAAATTAATAATTATAGGTACCAAAGAAAGATTTATTTGTCCGACCTGCTGACCATCAGACCTGTCTGTCCGATCACTAACGATCCGACTGAGGACCAACCGACCATACCAACCGACCGAGGACCTTCCGACCTGCCAATCCGACCGCTAATCAACTGACCTGATCATCCGACCGAGGACCAACCGACCAGACCAACCGACCGAGGATCTTCCGACCTGCCTATCCGACTGCTAACCAACGCACCTGACCATCCGATCGAGGACCAACCGACCTGAGCGCAAATTTTTTTTCTTTTCCACCCGACTTCGTGTCTATCTTCCTTTAAGATCCTGCTATCCTTATTTTTATTATTATTATTATTTTTTGTGCGTAACAATTATCAAAGTTGAAATATCCTTGTTATTTTTTACATTTCAAAACTCATAAAGAGATGCAGGGTCACCCTTCTTATCTCAAACATTTCATCTACATTCTCCTCTATTTTATTTTTTATTGGTGTTGATGCAATTTTTCAACAATAAAAAGTAAAATCTGAAAATAAAGTGTTGATGTATTTTTTCAACAGACAAAAAGTAAAATTCAAAGATATGGAAAATATCCTTAAATTTGATTATTTAGCGCATGAGATTAGGAATCTCTAATTCCTCCTTTATTGACACGTGCCTTGCACCGTCTCGCCAGATGCTTCCATCAGTTCCCGAACTCAACTTGCCCGACCGACCATTCCAGAGACCAA